CAATTACTTATATTTTGCAGATGATATTAGGGTCTTAGGTGTTGCTAGCTGTGAAGAGGATGCTGCTGATTTATAAAAGGATTTAGATCATTTAGTGAGTTGGGTAAATAAATGGCAGATGGGTTTTAATTATAATAAATGCAGGATAATGCATGTGGGTTATCATAATTTGAATTGTAGGTATAATTTGGATGGGAATAACCTTAACAGTATTACAAAGGAAAGGGATCTTGGTGTAATAGTCAATCATTCTGTAAAGCCATCCAAGCAGTGTGCTGTTGCTAGTGGTAGGGCAAATAGGATTTTAGGTTGTATCTACAGAAATATTGAATACAAGTCTGAAGAGGTTATAATTTCATTGTACAGGTCACTTGTTAGGCCACACTTGGAATATTGTGTTCAGTCTTGGGCTCCTTACCATAGGAAAATCATTAAATTGTTGGAAAGGGTTCAGAGAAGGGTTACTAGAATGGTATCTTTGATGGAGAAGTTGTCAGACGAGGAGAGGCTGAAATCTCTCAAATTGTTTTCTCTTGTTTTCATATATAATAGTGAGAATAGCAGGACTAGAGGACACAAATATATATAAATTTTGGCAAGGTAAGAGCCACTTTCAGCAAAGACAGTGTCATTTTTCTAACAGGGTGGGTGGCCTTTGGAATAGGTTGCCTTCAGATGTTGTGGTTTGATAACTATATGAATGATAATGGCTGGCTTTAAGATGTTTTTTTTTAATTATTTTAATTTCGTGTAGAGGATGGAACAGCTGAGATGGACCAATAGGTCCTATGTGTCCCAAAACATTATGTTGTGTTATTATTTTTAACTGAAATCACAAACAGAAACTTGTCACTGTAAACAAATATTACTGCATGTAGTAAATTCACTATAAAATAACTGGTCAGTTGTGGGTATTAAACCTTCAACTTACAGTAATTATCTTCATCAAGTTCATATATGGTTATGAGTATGATGAAAACTAAACTACCAAACAACAAACATCATGTCACGATGTTTATTTAAAAAAAATACCTTAAAGATGAGTAAAATTAAAGAAACGTACTGTGATAATTATATTCCTATTTAAAAAAATGAAGTAAATAACTTTTATTATAGAATGATCAGCTTTAGTACTGAACTAATACAACAATAAAGTTTTAAGTAGGAAGCACAACCATGTATAAAACACTGATGAAGGTTAGTGATATTAATTACTATTAATAACCATGAAATTTCAAGATCTGAATTAGAAACAAAATCATGTGGGAATTTAAGATCAACTACTAATTTATCATATATATAACAGATTTTTATGACTATATGTTAAATAAGAGGGTTTCACACTTGCAGAAAGGCAAAACACCATTAAAGAAATACAGGTACTATGTTGATAAGAGCATAAAAAGTTACACACACACAAAGACAGTAAGCTAAAAAAAAATTTTATCATCTCGATAAACCTTTTTACCTGATGTTGAATAACTGTTTCTTTCTGAGAACTCGTCTTCAACTTCACTTGAATCCTTCTTATTGTTCTTTCTCTCTGCCTTTTCAATCTTTTCTCGTCCATACTACCAAGGTTTATAATAATGTACAGTAACACAAAAGCTATAAAACCCATTTTCTACAGAAACATACTAATCAAATCATACATAGCTACTGGAATTACTAAAATTATATATCTATGGAATTAAGCTAAATTTTAACTATATTATGTCTTGAACAGTAAATAACAAAAACTAATATTTTTCTTGCACATCTTTTTCCAATGAATCTTGAAAAACTACAAATTATAAGCATAAATTAAACTATATTTAGTCTACTTGATCTACAAAAGCAACTAAATAAAAATGAGTGGAAGCTGGAACACAAATTTTCTAGTTTATTTTTAACATATATATTGGTTGTGGAAAGTAAAACAAATTAAAAACAGAAAGTTTAATTAATCATGTTTCCTGAATTATTTTTGTATTTTAACTAATTACAAAAATAGTCTTATGATTAAACATAAAGAAACCTAGGATCTTTGAAAACAAACAAATAAACCAAATGACAAGCTTTCAGAAAGTGAAATTGTGATCATGACAGTGATTAAAGTTATGCACCACTTGGAGATGTTGCAAACACAGCAAACAACTTGTGCATTTACATACACTTTAGAAATAATACCTTATTCCTTTTTTGTACTTAGTTGCATTAAATTATGTTAGTTATAATGCATACAGTGATGTTTTTTACATATTTTTTAAAATTATAATTACACTTACAACAATTATTGTGTTATTGCTTTAGTGTCTATATTTAAGGCTAATCTAAACCTTATGGGCTGGTTAAACCTCACGAGACAATATTATGTGGTTGTTGTTTTTTTTTGTTAAAAATTGTATTACCACCGCACTCTGTATTAATTTATAATTTTTGGGTATTTCTAATCACCTTATTGTATCAAAATGTTATCATTTACATAAAATTAAAGGGCAAAAAAGGATCCGTTGATCTACCTAGGCCATCACTTCTACTAAACTAAACTAGATAAGCAAAATGTTAGGATGGGAGTAGGGCCTTTGTGGGATGACACAGGAACTTCAATGGGAAAGGCTCATATCTGATGATTATGATATGGCTGTGTTATTAAATTCTACTTTTTCTTTTTACTGATAATGATTTAAAGTAAACAATATTCTGCGTCCTGAACAGTTTTCAGTAAGAAACAAGATTGAACAATATGGTCACATTAATAGTGTTCTTTTTAAGAAAAACACGGGAAGTTCAAAAAATGATAAACTCCTCAGCCAGATATTATTTCCCCAAGAATTTGAAGGAAGTTAAGAATTGGATGTGAGCCACTTACTTCTATTTTTTGTAATGTAAGTCCTTGAACAGAGGGCAGGTGCCAGAAAATTGGAAGTTGGTTAATGTTACTCCTTTTTTTAAAGGCAGATGATAAAAAATATCATTACTGTAAACATAATTTTCATTTCTTTAGTTTTAAGTATATCATTAGCTTACATTTTAAACCTTACCAGAATTTAAAAATAAAAAAGTAAAAATATTTTAATAATTTAAATTTCACCCACATGCTAAACCATGAGCAAAAACTCAAAAAAGCAGCACTGGGAAGAATTTTTACCTTTCACGAAATTATTAAATCACAGTTAACAAATTACAAATGTTTTTCAGAAACCAATGTAATATTAGCAATTAATACTTAAGTTACCTCAAAAGCCCATAAAAGTATTTCTACATATTTTTCTCTTACTCCAAGCGACTTTCCAATTGCAGCCAGTACCATGACTACAAAAAGCAGTATTATAAATATTGCAACTGCTATTTTCAAATACATACACATGGAACTCCACGTCATTATTTCGAACTTTCCAAAGACTACCAAAATATCTTTAAATAATGTTTCCACTTCACTCAATTCTTAAATGTACATTAACCTGTGTGAGTCGCTCCTCAAACCTATTTTAACTGTTCTGTATACATAAAGCAATAACACAAGCCTAACATTGTTAATATTTCTATGTCCACTGACACCGTCCTTTCTTTATGAAGTGAGCCCTCTACAACAAATTAATGAATTTTTTTCAACAGTTTCATTCAGTTTCCACACTAGAAAGACTTATCTGACTTATATAACAAAACTACACAATGTGTGTTATAAGAGTGTTTGTCAAATCTTTGTCAGGAAAAAAAAAAGAAGAAGAAGGAAAAAGTAGCTCAAGAGTTGAAAAACAACTTATATGAAATTTAGAGGCAAAGCTCTATAGCTAGAGAGAAAGCATCTAGTCAACAGCACCCATACAGTCTCTTCTACTTTTCACTTGTTCTGACATTATCTTTGTGAACTGTCTCCAGTAAATGCGCTGTAAACGTGCGTATATTTAATGATATGTACTTAAAACTCTCTTATAATAAAAACAGCCTATAATTAACATTTTACAACTTGCCATTTAGTTATCTGTCTGATTGATTTTCATTATCGCAGAATATCTTCTACTTTGCATTTGTTCCGACCAAATCTTTGAGCGTATTGTTATGCTGGAAGTGTTTTACCAGTGCGTTATTACTGTCTTAACAAGGAATGCTACAAATGCATTTATCTGTATAAAAATAAATATTAATGATATATACTTAAAACACTTATAATAAAAGCATCTTATGATCAGCATTTTACAACTCGCCATTTTGTTAGTATATTTTACTTACAAGATTAACAAAACTGTACACTGCCTAACAATAAGTTAAATATTTAAATTTTCTGAACTCTTGGCCAATGGGATTGTACACCACTTCTGGCAGAAGACTTGGATGAGGGTATCCTTAGTAGCCGTTTGTTTTGAGATACCTCTGCATTGAAATGATGAAGGATAGACCGACCACACATGGCTGATGTGATTCACATCTGGCGATCGGCCTGGCCCAGTAAAAATGGTAATGAACTGATCTTATAATGATTCAGACTTAATGAGCAGGTGCTCCATTTTGCATGAAAATGCTGGTCATTAATGTAGACAGGTAGAAGACCTTACTCAAGAATTTTGTTGTATCAAACAGCGTTGTGATCAACCAGCTATTATACACAGAGCACCGTAAAATTAATTCTGCCATATTTTGTCGTGTCTTGTGAACAATACAACAAAAGTTTTAAGGAGATTAGTTGCTAAACTTGGGTGCATCCAATGTCTGAGAATTGTTTAAATTTGGACATGTCGGAAAAAATTATTACAGTTTCCATAAAGGTAAGACAGTAATATTTGCTATATCCACTGCTGTCAATATCCAATATTGCCTGGAGTGAGAAGTGGCTTCCATTTGGTTACTCTACCATAGTAGCTTATGCTATAAAGATATCTTCTGATGGTATTGGAACACACTTTCAGTTGTCTTGTAACAGTTTGACGTGGGTCATTTTCCACACTCACAGCACAAAAATTTCATTTTGTTGGTTTTGGGTACTTGGGATGTTGTTTGCTTGATGTGACTGGAACTACATTGTTACCCTATTTACTGTGGACATTGTAATACGAGTAACATGACGATTTCTTCTTTACTTTGATTGCCCTTCCATCATCCAACCACATAACCTTGTGAAAATACAATCAATTCTTGGATTATTTCATTCGTGGTATTGCTCTTTTTTTGAGTTTTTCATTGAACTATATGGCAGGGTTATGTGCATATGATGTCTTAGAGATGGTCAGTTTGTATTCTCGGGGTATCTATGTATTTATATCGAGGCTGTGTATATCAAAAGTATAAAAAGTATTCTAAGGAGTAAAAGTATCCTGGGGCTATATTATTGTGTGTCTTTTTGCAATTTTTTTTACCAACTGAACAAATTCTGTTAGTTTTGAGCAAACTTGATCGACTACAACATTAAAATCTCTTGAAAGAGAAGATGCTTACCCATTTAACATTGATTGAATAATTGTCTAAATTTCTTTTCATTGCATTTTATATGGTACTTCTAAGCTGTGGTTCTTAGTTTTACTGTGCTTCTCTCGAGTAATTGAGAAAGAAATTTGAGATAACTGAAGGCTCAACAGAAAATGTATTGAAGAGCAGATATAAGACTTTTTTTTACCTCAGACTGAGTTTGACACAAAGAAAGAGACTGGATAATTTATATTAACGTTAAAGACAGCGTCAAGTGGAACACCTGTACTGGAGAGATGTGATGTTAAGTCCTCAAAAATTGAGAGTTCAAATTCTAGTTTTAAGTCACAAGTTAAAGTTGAAGATGGAATTGAGGTTAAGTCAAGCTTTATACTACTAAAGGTCTCCAAAGTTAGTTGTTTAGCTCTTAAAAATTGTTTTACAATGACAAAACATGGCATTATAAGACAGTAACAACAATACTATCTTCTCAGGATCCACGTGTTATACACGTGACTAATGGTCACTCTCACTTCAAAATAATGAATGTTATATCCCTGAGCATTACTCGACTTGCTAGTGGAAAAATCACTGTAAATTTATGTACAGTGTGTTTGATGTTACAGCAGCCTTTCCCACGAGAAAGTGCGCCACTGCTGACTGACCTAATTCCGTGAAAAACTAGGGCGAGAGAAACTTAATGATTCTCTTGAACGACATTCTATATTACGAATTAAACGTCAATATGCACCAACATTTTAAAACATTTTATGTATCAGTTATGGTGATAGAAACAAATCGTATTCGTGTACTACACTTCTCCTCTCTCTATTACCTTCAGGCTGACCCATCTGTCCCTAATTTTAAAAACTTAAAACACAAGTAAAATAGTTTGTGCATTGGTCAAGAAATTCGTGCAACTTACTTTCACCTCTGCAAAATGCTTGTAACCACAAATGCATACAAGCAAAATAGAAAATAAAACATTATACAAAACGAAAGGTCATAATCGACAATTACAAAAAACAAATTAGTCATTAGATATTAAACCAAACAACTTTTTGAAACCAGGTTCAAGTCAAAGAATAAAAGCAATAAGAAAATAACAAAAGAAAACAATCAAGTTAAACATACCATTTAACAATGATAAAAAAATAGCACAACATAACCCTGTAAAAATTATATTGCATATAGAATACAAAATAATAAATAGAAAAGAATCATTTACCAAAATAATATATACAATACAAAACCATACAGAAATATATCATAATATCGTTCACAAAAAAACAACAAAAAACATTAAATTACAAAGTGAAAGCAAAAACCCCTTTCCACATATAAATCAAGCATATATACTAAAGAATACAACTATATAAAAATATACATAGTTACAATACAAACAATGGACGGAAGCTCACTAATAATAATAATAATACCAGGATTGAAATTTAAAGTCAATCAAACCGTGATGCATCAGAATTTTGGTAAAATTGTAGGTTAAAGCTGTTACAGCCTGATAACAACAATTCTCTCTCTCTCTCCTAAAATTTCCCTTAGGAACAGACAGCTAAAATTATTGCTGTGGTCAAGTGACATTTCTGCAGTCTTACCGTACTCACGTGCATATTACCTATAAAACATGTATCTCTCATCTGTAGACGTTCTGATCCCCTAAGCTTCCTTACATCTGGCGCTTGACATACACCCAGCTGCATGTGCACTTCGCTGTTGCCATTGCACCGACAGTAGCTCACAGATACCATGGAACCCAGCCACATTCTTTATCTACCATCTAGTTATTATGCAAATGGAGACTGACCCCAGTAGGAAAGAAATGGGGGCAGAACTGCAAACTCTGGTTCCTATACAAATGACCGATCACGCATTTCAACTGAATTTTGTAATGAAATAATGGTAAGAAAATATCCAGAAAACTCTGTACTTCTCAAATTACTTCAATCTGCATGATAGAAAATATTCAGTCATAACCAAATAAAACATTGTATCCACCAAACATATTTGGTATGACACAAGCTGTTGTTTGTGAATTTCACTACTTATACATAATCCCACCTGCTTATGAATACTTCAATTCAACGCAATAGAAATATTACTTGCTAGAGATATCAAAATCAACTGGTCGAAATACATATTTCTTGTAAGTATAGTATGAGTTTAACCATTACTCTTATCCCTTCCCTGAGAGGCCCAGCATGGCCAGGTGGTTAGGGTGCTCGACTCGCAATCCCCGTCACACCAAACATGCTCGCCCTTTCAGCCGTAGGGGCGTTATAATGTGACGGTCAATCCCACTATTCGTTGGTAGCCCAAGAATTGGCGGTGGGTGGTGATGACTAGCTGCCTTTCCTCTAGGCTTACACTGCTAAATTACGGACGGCTAGCGCAGATAGCTCTCGTGTAGCTTTGCGCGAAATTCAAAAACAAACAATTTCGGGCTAAAAATAAAATAAAACACGGTGAAAACTTATAAAGATTTATTGGTGTCTTTCAACTTGACCTGTTACAATGCCATAAACTCAGGTTATATAACAATATTTGGTAGACATCTATCTATTTCTTACAAACGTAGTTTCTTTTCAATTAATTAGTTCTTTTATTTAGCTACGTTGTAAGAACACGATAAACTTAACAAAAATATTTAAGAAATGAGGATTTGAGTCATTGGAATTTTGCTATTGCCTACCATACACTCTAAACCTAATTGAGCTTTCCTGATGCCTTATTATACAAAAAAAAATCCATAGCTTTAAAGAAAATGCTGTTTAACACGAAAGCAATCTCAGGAGCGAAAATAACTTCTAAATAAGCCATTAAAAATTCCGAGATTTGTAATTTATGCTTTAGTCTTTTAAACTTCCTATTAGCTTCTATTGCTTTTTCCTGCAAGAGATAGGTCTCTCACTTTCCCTAAAAACCATAAATTACTTCTCATTTCACTTTATTCACTCTACATTGACTTAAAAAGTTTATAGTCTGCTCTATCCAATGCTTTTTAAACTAACTACTGAGAGTAACAGTTGAATTAATGTTTTTATGTAATAAATGTTTATCTTTCAGCTTGGGCACTAGACGAGTATATTTTTGACATTCACCTAGTTAAAATGAGGTTTTTCCGTTGTACTCCTGTCCCACTCCACAACAAATTATTTGGCA